GAAGTCAATTAAAAAAAATGGTTGGATTTGTTTGAGACTCTTAACCGCCATTTTGAATTTTGAAAATCTGACATCAGATTCGTAATCAGCAACCCCAGAAACCCTCTGGAAACGAGTTTCAACCCTTGACAATATTTAAAACGTTCAGTATCAACGTTTTAATTTTAGTAATTTTTTTTAATTTAATTCTCATATTGGATCCGTCATTTTGAATTAAAAAAAATAGACTTCAGATTCGTAATTTAGGACCCTAAAACTCTCGAGTGCCGGTTTTTGAACAAATCCAACCAATAAAAAAAATGGATCACCATTTTGGATCCACCATTTTGAATTTTGAAAAATTGACTCCAGATTCCTAATTAGCAGCCCCAGAAACCCTCTGGTAACAAGTTCCAACCCATGACAACGCGTAAATCGTTCAATATCAACGTTTTACTTTTACTAGTCTCTTTTCGAGAGCATATCTTCGGCACTAGGCCCATTCTAACTGTCCAAGACAGGTATGTAGTTAAGGGAATGTTCGCCAATAACACCACAGTAATTATATGTAAAAACCACATTTTTATCTGCATTCCAACATATCAAGAAATTAAAAAATTATAACATCAGCGTTTTTTATAAAAAAAAAAACGATCAGCGCAACCTCTAAGAAAACTTTTTTTCAAAATAAAAAGAACACGTTTCTCTTTTTTATCACAAATAACCAAGGTTCATAAAATAGAAGGTTACGACATGGTGCTGTAAAAAATTTGTTTTCCTCCAATGACGTAGTTGCGAAGTGAGTTCTGGTTGGCTGAAATATTTTACGAAGAAGGAGAGTACACAAAATGCAGAAAATATAGTTGCCGTATATCATATTTTAGGAATCCTAATCAAATTGGCGTTTTTGATTTAAAATCGTGGCAATGCTTATTACAACAACATAAAATGTTATAACTTCACGTGAAACTGGATTAACATAATAATATTCGTACAATAGTGACAAATGAAATGTAGATCGAATGCAAATTGAAATTTGCTGGCGATTTTATTCTTAAAAGTAAGCAGAACGCACTCGCGTATTTTTAAATAAAAAGCGTTCATAACATTGCCAAATTTCGCTACCGAAATTGCAATTCATCTTTAGACATACGGTAAAACTAAATTATCTGTTTCAGTGTAATTTTTGCAATCAAAAACAGTGCACTTAAAT